ATCAACACATATTTTTCAAGAAATCACAGCTTCTACCTCTGAATTTTAGCATCATCTTTCCATGGACTTATCCTTCTTTCTCTTATTTCCTGCTCATAGGGTATCTTGAAGAGAAAGCCGAACCTACCCCCCAACTGTCACTGGCTCCAGTTCGGGTAGGAGCTACTTGAAACATTAAACGGCCACATGACAACCTTGCAAAGACCTCAGCTCTGAAGCAGCAGATGGCCTTTTACCACCTAGTTGCACTCACACATTTTTAGTGCTTCACATAACACAGCTACAGCGTAAGTGCAGGGTCTACAGGGATTCCAGAACTGGTCCAGTGCTCAGAGAATCACAGAGGCACATGGAACGCGCAGGAGCAGGAAGGGGCAGGCAAGTCCCCTCTGGCCTGTTAGGAAGAGAATGCCTGGGAATGGACAGCACCCACTGGAGCAGTGTCACCCCACGCTGCCCTTGTTTATGAAGACAGGTTCTCCATAGCTGCTTGTAGCACTCCTGAGATAATTAGCACAGGCATATTGAAGATGGCCCAGTGATTGCTATTATCAGAAAACCGAGACAGCTCCACTTGACTATGAGCTGTCTTCTAAAACTCTGCGATGTTGAAGTTATGAATACATGCTGTGTGTGTGTCTAGAAATACTGACTCATGAGAACCTGAGTCTCAAGGGTTCTATCTAGAGCACTGCTGGCCCATGAAGACCCCCAACCTACAAGCTCCGTTGCCAGGAGAAACTCCTCTCATTGTTCTCTCAAGATCCCAGGCAGGCTAAGTAGGAGGAAGTTGGTCTTCAGGGCTGCAGGCACTAAGCTCTATCTCCTCTGCTTTCTCCTCCTTTTCCTCAGACACATTCAGTATCACGCTCCCTGCTGGCAGGGCTGGGAAGCGAATTCTGATAATTCTCCCCAAACCCTCATCAGATTTATCTCCTCTGCGCACATCAAATTCTGTACTCTGGAATCCATGGTAGCGAGACAGCAAGCAGGAGATGCCTCCTGGTTAGCCTCTTTATAAGTGAGTCTTCCAAGGCTTAATTTTCCCTGTCCAAAATGTCTCTGACAGAGAGTCCACAATATCAACATTTGGAAGCTAATGAGCCAGGAGCAGTGCATACTGATTAAAGCCAATCTTAACAAGACTCTCAGCCAGCGCTGCGGCTCACTAGGCTAATCCTCCGCCTGTGGCACCGGCACCCTGGGTTCTAGTCCCAGTCGGGGCGCTGGGTTCTGTCCCAGTCACTCCTCTACCAGTCCAGCTCCCTGCTGTGGCCTGGGTGTGCAGTGGAGGATGGCCCAGGTCCTTGGGCCCTGCACCCGCATGGGAGACCAGGAGAGGCACCTGGCTCCTGGCTTCGGATCAGCGCAGTGCTCCGGCTGCAGTGGCCGTTGCGGGGGTGAACCAATGGAAAAGTAAGACCTTTCTCTCTGTATCTCTGTCTACTCTGCCTGTCAAAAAAAAAAAAAAAAGACTCTCAAAAAATATGAAACCCAGAGTAGTTCCCTGTACATAACCTCCCCATCAATCACATCTAACAAGATCTTGTTGCGCAGATTCTTCAAAGTAGAATCTGGTGTCATTTCCATGGAGCATGTGGCACCCGAGGCCCCAAACCCCGTGACTGGCTATTGCCTTCTCAGTCACTCCCTATGCTGTCAAGTGAGTTCTGACGTTAGGCAGAAATAAGTGATAGGAGCAGATGAGTTAGTAAGACATAAACATCCTGTTTTCATTACATTCTAATGTAATTCATTACATTAATTCATTCTAATTCATTACAATCTAACTCACATTTCATAGTTACTTCATTCAAAGCACCGGTTGCACGGATATGGTGTTCTCTCTTCCATAGGTTACCGTGTTGTTGGTAACCTCTTCCATAGGTTACCGTGCCCTGGCTTCAACGTCCATAGAGTAAAGCTCCTTGGATCAACTGCTTCTGTTTGGCAATGCTCCTTCCCCCAGACTTAACTGCGCGGGTTCCCATTTGCAGACAGCTTCCACTAAAGCAGGCTAGGGGCCAGAGGCTGGGTGGGTAGGGGCAGATGGGAAGTATTTACCTGTCTTAAAAAGGTACAGGATGTCCGCACCTGCTCCCTGGCATGTGGCTATTCAAGCCTGGCCTGGCCAGATCTTCCTGCTTTTCAAGATAAACTAAAAATCTCCCAGTCTTCAGATGTTGGTAATTTATCTTGATTGGTCAAAAATGCAGTGCGAGCCGAACAAAACACACCTGTGAGTTTGGTTGACTCCACAGGGCAGCAATTCCCTTTAACTGGATTACAGCAATGGGTGAAGTTCTGGTGTCTGTGGGGCCTGGAAAATATTCTTGCTCATGACCCCTATGTTTACTGTTAAGAAAATAGGTTCGTGATGAACAGGTAGAGGAAGTAAGATGGTATTTCAAATACAAGCATTTGCCTTTTAGGATGATGGTCTACCTTCATATGCAGCCGGGTGAAAGAGCCAAGGGTTCTTGTGTGTTGTGTACGCCAGTGCAACGCAAAGACAATGGCTTGAGCTGTAAGCAGAAATAACTTTATTGAGTTGCACAAGCCAGGAATGAGAAAGTCTTATGACAAAAAACAGGCTCCCCAGAAAGCCAGGAGGAGCAAGCTGCACAGAGCTTGTGGCTAGGGAAGTTATACATATCTAGCTCGCTTTCTGGCAATTTGGGACGGGACTATTCAAAAGCAATGGGTACACATGCCCACCAAGTCACACCCATTGTGTTCGTCCCAGGTCCAGTTGGAGGTGGAGATCTCAGCCCTATAATGAAAGGAGCTGGACTTTTCACATCGAGGGGTGAGCTGAGCGTGCCCTTGCTGCTTGTGTAGATGCGTCCTAAGCTGGACACAGATGCAGGTTCTTGAGAAGAAACGCCAGCCACTGCGCTGTGTCTTCCTTCAGTCCAGCGCCTGGTGCTACCTGCAGCAATGCCTGGTGATGTTGGACTTGGCTTTAGTCACGTTGATTTTACATTTGGAGGTGGAGGGGACACGTATCGTGGATTCTTACAGATTCCAGGACGGGTGTGCTGAGCTTCCTTGAAACCCATGGATTCCCCATGCCTAGCTATATTATACATAGGGTATTTGGCTTCCAAGCAGGAATTCATAAAATATATTAAAAATAGGGTAAATATTGCATGTTAAGCACTGTTCAGGCCCAGAGGACATTATCTCACTCAGTCCCACTCTCTAAAAGGTTTACTTAGGCGCTAGCATCCCTACCGGAGTGTTTGGGTTCAAGTCCAAGTTTGGGCTCCTGACTCCAGTATTAATAATGCACCCTGGAGCGGAGTGGTGACGGCTGAAGTAACTGGGGCTCTGCTGCTCATGGGGGAGACCTGGCTTGAGTTCCTGGTCTCAGCCTCCAGCCTGCACAGCTCTGGCCAAGGAGGCATTTGGGATCTTTCTGTCTGCCTGTTTCCATCTCTTTCTCCTCCCTCTCTCTCAAATAAAAATAATATATATGATATATTATTATTAATTGCTAGACCAAATGCCTGCCCTTCCCAAAAATAAACTGCAGATACTTAAGCAGGGGTGGTTACACCACTGACAAAGCAGGATCTGAGGTACCTGTTTGGTGGGAGTGGTGCTGAGCTCACTAAAAATCATCACCTTTTAAAGCATTTGTAAACATCTCCTGCTTAAATACTTCATTGGTATGATTTTCTGATAATTCTAGCTTAGTGAATTCCAAAGGATATACAGCCACACATTTGAAGATACAAACTGAAATAAACTAGTGTTGACACCAAATCGCTGAGAACAGTGACTTCAGATGATTAAACCATTGGTAAAGTTTTGTAAACTAGTTGTACATTTACCTTGTTTAAATTATTTGCGATTTTGTGTGCTGTGGACTGATTTAACCATTTGTTTCAAATCTAGCTGCTTAGATAGCCTTTCTGAAATCCAGAGAAATGAAAAAAAAGCCCACATAGTTCTTGATGTCATGAAATCCCAATTCCTTTACAAACTTTGTTTTGGGAGCTGGAGTTTAACCTAGTGGTTATGACAGAGGCTAGGGCACCACAGGCCCTTTCAGATTGCTAGGGTTCAACACCTGGCTTCATGTCTTGGCTCCAGCTCTCTGCTAATGCAGACTTTGGAAGGCAGCTGTAATGGGTCAAGTAATTGAGTTCCTGCCACCCACATGGGAGACCTAGATTGAGCCTTGGCCCCTGGCTTCTTCCCTGGTCCAGCCCTGGCTGTGTGGGCATATGGATCGTGAATCACAGGATGGGAGCTCTCTGTGGGTGGCTCTCTCTCTTGCTCTCTCTCTCCCCTCTTCTCAAATAAAGACAAAAAAAAAAATGTTTTTTAAACCGTCTTTTAAAAGTGCTAGTATGGATTGTGGGTATGAATGGATTGGGAATAGATGTCTTTAGATGGTAACTGAAACATTTGTAACCAGAAAACACATTTCAAAAATTGTGTACAATTTACTTCCACCCCTTGGGGTACAACAGTCGCTGACAACTGTCTAGGAGTTCTCTTTCAGGGGAGCTTCATTCGGCTTTCTCTCTCCTCTAATTCGTGTGTCTCTGCTGGATGTTTGAATCTCTGCTCAGGAGCTCCTCATCGATTTTAATATCTGACTACAGGGCAAGATGCCAGGCCTGAGGCCAACCTTTTAGAGTGGGGCTGAGTGTGAGGGGAGGGCTGTCCCCTAGATCTGAGCTTGGCGTTTAGGAGTCGAGATTTCCCTAAACCCGCCGTGCTCCCGGCCTGGGGGACCCCCTGAGGCATGGGGTGCCTGACAATCGGGGAGTGGGTTATAAGCCTCATGCACTGAACAGCACCTTTCAATTTTCAGGGAAAACGCAGACACATTTAGAAAGCTTTGCAAGGCAGGCGCTGGCCCGCATCCTGGGGTGCTGCCTCCAGCGGGACCCACGCGCGCACACCGGGCCGGGGCCTCCACGCGGTGGCCTCGCGCGCACCCGCGCACGCCCGGCCCCTGTGCACCGGGCGCCCGGTGAGCCTGAGAGCGCCGGCCCCGCAGCGCCCAGCTGTTGCTGTGACACTGATTTGCTGGTGGCCGCCGGAGAGAGGCCCCGCGGGTTCCGACCCGTGCGCTCGCCGCCAGCTGCAGCGCAGCCTCCTTGGCCTTGCCCTCCGCGCAGCCCTGGGCATCACCGCAGCCCGCGCAGCAAAGCCAACTAAAAAAAATCCCTGAACCCCTCAACACCTCGCCGCCCCTCCCCGCCCCGCTCCGGCGGAATTGACTGACGCGCCGAACGCGGCCCAGTCGGGCCGAGCGCGCCGACGGAGCCGCCGTAGGTGAGGGGCCCGCGTCCCCGCCCGCTGTGGGCGCCGCGCCTGGCACGGAGCCCGCGCGCCCGCCCGCCCGCCGCAGCCGCCGCCGCCCGCGGGCACCATGACCGCTCTGAGCGCTGGGGTTACAGGTTGGTCACTGCCGCCGGCGCCTGGGAAGCGGCGGTGCGGCCGTGCACCGCGCGGGAGGCCCGGGATGCGCAGGGGCTGGGCCCAGGCGGGGCGGGAACGTTGGGAGTGCGAGAGGGAGCAGGGGGCGCGGGCCCGGCGAGGTGGGGGTTGGGGAGAGGCGCGTCCCCACCCAGCCCGCCCTGTGGCGGAGCGAGGAAGGGGGACCCCGGTGCCGCGGTGCGCCCTCTCTGCTCCTGCGCCCCGGCTGCCGGGGCTCCTGCTGTGGGATGCGCCTCGGTCGGCCTGGGGAGCCAAGGGCCGGCCAGCCCTGGGGCCTGCCTCCCCCGTTGTAGCAGGTGTTGAGGCTGGGATGCGGGGCAGGTGCCTGGGGTTGAGGAGGATGCGCTGGGCTACCGCGGCTCCTCAGGCCTGGGCCACTGCCTGGGTAACCTCAGGGCGAACACGCAGGTGCAGGGCGGGGGCCAGTGCTACTCCAGCGGGTTCTAGAGGAGCCCTAGGGTTCTGGGGCCTGGCTCTTCCCCTGTGCCACCCTCGTGCGCCTAGGGATTGCTGAATATCCCTGGTTTTGTCAGTCGGCCCTGTTGAACAGCTGTCATCAGGGTGGCCGCACAGTAAGCCCGGAGCAGTATCCGGACAAAGCAACACCATTTTGTCACCGAACCTCTGAGGGCCCAGCCTGGACTGCCTGGCTGGAGTCCCGAGGCGGCTAAGGACAGTGACGAAGAGGTTCTAGGGCTGACCCCAACACCCCTCCTTAGGGTGCTGTGATGCCTCCGAGGTCCTGAAACCCCATCGCACAAACCTTCCAGTTAGAGGCACGGTGGGTAAGGGACGGTATCATTAGGGCTCAGGCCTAGGCAGGTCTCCATCTCCTTGGTGTGTGCGGTCATCAGCCAGGCCCGAATTTCCTGGTGATGGAAAAAAATGGGTGAACGGAGGGCTAACGATGCCCGTGTCTGTGGGTGGTATTAAAAATTAACAGGTGGCTGTTCTAACGTTTACGATTCAAGTTTTCATGGCTGCAACTGTGATTTGATGTCGTGTGGGAGCAGAGGTCGTGGACTGCACCCCTAATGCCAGAAGCAGGTGCATAGGGCCAGGGTGCAGACTGAATATTCACCTCCAAGCGTTCAGCTCCTGTGCTCAGCTCTGCACAATAGCGTCACAATGCCGCTTCCTCAGCGGTTGGCTTGCCTTCTGTATTATGCTGGGTTTATGCTTTCTTATGTTGGGGTTTTCATTCTTCCATAGTGTATTTTAGCCCAGCTATTGCTAAAACCAAATGGTGTGAGGGGGAAAATCGGGTGCTGGAATGAGACTAACAAGTGAAGAAGCCCACTGGACCCTCCTATGTGCTCATAGAAGAAGTGACAGCTTGGTGAATACTTGTCCTGTAACTGATGAGGACCACACTAGAAACTCTACAGAAGTGAGGGGCCGGCTCTGTGGTGCAGTGGGTTAACGCCCTGGCCTGAAGCGCCGGCATCCCATATGGGTGCCGGTTCGAGACCCGGCTGCTCCACTTCCGATCCAGCTCTCTCCTGTGGCCTGGGAAAGCAGTGGAAGATGGCCCAAGTCCCTGAACCCCTGCACCCACATGGGAGACCCGGAAGAAGCTCCTGGCTCCTGGCCTCGGATCAGCACAGCTCCAGCTGTTGCAGCCAATTGGGGAGTGAACCAGCAGATGGAAGACCTCTCTCTCTCTACCTCTCCTCTCTCTCTCTCTCTCTGTGTAACTCTTTCAAATAAATAAGCCGAAAGAAAGAAAGAAAGAAAGAAGGAAAGTCTACAGAAGTGGAAGAGGGATGGTGGCAGTAGAGTTTTAGCTTTTGTTATGAGATCGTTAAAAGAGCAAAAAACGTATTTTCAAAAGAAAGAAGAAACACCTCTTCAAAAAGTATCATTTGTTTGTAGTTCACCGAAATGACATTTTTAAAAAAGATATATTTACTTATTTGAAAGACAGAGTTACAGAGAGAGAAAGAGAGAGAGAGACTTTTCATCCCCTGGTTCACTCCCCAAATGGCCACAACAGCCGCAGGTGGGCCAGGCAGAAGCCAGGAGCCAGGAGTTTCTTCCAGGTCTCCCAAGTGAGTAGCAGGGACCCCAGCACCTGGGCCGTTAGCAGGGAGCTGGATGGGAAGTGAGCAGCCGGGACATGAACTGGTATCCATATGGGATGCTAGGAAGCAGCTTTACCCGCTATGCCACCACAGTGGCCCCCCGAAATGCAATTTTAAGTAGCATTTTCTTCTGCTCTGGGTATAGCATTTCTTGTGTTTTAGTTGCTTCTTTCTCTTTCCTGCATGTGAGTGTTTACGTATGCTTGGGTACCTGTGCACCCATGTGCACATTTGTTTTATAGCATAATCAGCGACACCAGGATGATTTTGGAATTTTGATGAGTGTATAAATTTATCCCAGGGGAAAAGAGTTGCAAATGGATTTCAAGTCTGTGAAGGAAAAAAATCGTGTCTGTACCAAAACCTTAGTATAACCCAAGCACTGAGCTGGGAGTTCAGAGAGAAAAAGAAGTTGACCTGGGCCCTAAAAATCTGTTAGAAAAGACAAATAGGTGAGCAGGTAGATGGATGCACAGTGAGATGTCTCATCTTCTGATTCTGGGTTGGAAACTGTGGTTTTGGCGTTAACGACGCTGAATTGCCTCCCGAAGTGCTGCTGACATCTCAGAGTTAGAGGCTGCAATCCCGTGATTCTTACGTCTCAAAGGACCTGCCCGAGAGGCGTGTACACCTACAAAGCACGTTCCATGAAACAACTTCAGTTTTTAATTTACTTTTGAATTTTAAAATAAGGATCATAGAGTTTTAGAGAAGAGACTACTCACACGTATTTCTGACCACCTAAAACAAATGGCCACATTATTCTGTAGTCTTTTTAAGAACTTGATTTTATTTAGTTGTTGTCAAGGTGTTGTACAACTTTTATACTGGTTTTTTCCATTTAAATTTATCATAAGCACTTTTAATATCTGTATAGTTTTCTTACTTAAACTTTACAAATGGTTATAACACTATTTACAGAGAATATAGCCTCACATATATATCCCTGCTTCTATCATTGAACATTTTCTGCTCTCCTTCCAATTTTTTACCATCCTAAACCGTGTCCTAATAAATTGTTATAGTGATTATGTGTTTCCATTTGATGCTTTTTAAATGCTAAATTGAAATAATATTTCTGAAAAGGAAGTATCTAAATGCTTATGTATAGATTATATGTTTATACATATATGTCCCTATATATCAGTCTTCAAATGGGCTTTCTAAAGAATTCAGATTATAATTTTGAATAATATGCTTAAAATCCTTTAGAAGTAAATTTGCCCCCACACCCTCCCCCGCCCCTTTTTTTTAGTATTTCTGGAACACTTTTCCCCTTTACAGGAATAAAAGAAGATAAAATAATAACGTGGGCTTATGACCTTTGCGCTATATAAAGATTTGACCTTTCACAATTGCATCTGAAAACAGATGATAAAAAGCACCTTTTTAGAGCAAAACCAAAGTAGGAATACTTTAGAAGTTGAAAGCGTAGGGGGGCAAAAAGGAAGTAAATGCCAGATCTTTTAGGGAAGATGGCTGGTTCGTTCAGGAGTTTTATTTTGCTTTTTGCTTTCCTACTTAGACTTCAAATAAATGATCAAAGGAATTCATGTGGTGAGAAATCTGTACACCCACAGCTAATGGAAGAGCACATTTAGTTCCCAGGCTGTAAAATCCATTGCACTTCTGGTGGATTCCGTGGACCTGGAATTGGACCGATGGGTAAAACTAAGTTTGAGTTCACAGTTTCCTTCCTGTGTGAGTGGCAGGGGAGCGCTCCCGACGAACCCTTACCAGCAAGGAGTGAAGGCTGAAGTTGGGCTGGGCTGTGGCTAGCACGGGTGCTGGGTTCAAAAGCATTTTCTGCAGCAGATCCCAGAGCAGTCACAGCTGCACCAGGGGAGGGATTAACCTTGTGCAGAAGCCAAGATCAAGGCAGGGATTGGAGAAAAACTGGAAGTATGAAAGGCCAAAGGCTTCGTATAGTACTGTTGAGGAGCAAGAATTAATTATGCAAAGGAAAAAGATGAAACAGGACTTTGTTTGGGAAGAGGGTGATATGAGTGGAAGACAGCCAACAGACACAAATAAATGCTCTCCCTAACAGAGAGATCAGAGCACGTGGAACACAGCCATGTTTCAGATGAAAGGAGAGGTCACATTTACTTTTAGATTAAAAAAAACCAGATATGCAGATTAGGTTATATGTACTAGGAAAAATTAATAAAGCAGAGCTAACGTCTGGTGAACATTTTGCATTTTAAGAATAATAAAAAGTATTTCATCGGCATCAGACCAAGTGTTTTTTAAAACTTACCTATCCATGAAGGGAAAATATAAACTGATTTCAAACATCCTCTCCAGAATTATCAGGAAACAGTAAAATAATATCTTGGAAATGTGTAGTCCTAAAGAAGTCACAAGCTTATTCTCTGGTGATACTGAATATGAGTCAAAGGTGGAAAATAAAAAGGTGAAGATGCATGTACTAGGCAAAGACTACCAAATCAACAAAGAAAAAGTTGAGGCAAAAAGTGAGTAAATATCAGAACAGCAGTTCAAAAAATAATTAGAGGGAGCTGTCCGGCGTAGTGGTGAAGAAGCTGCCTGGGATCCGTAGATCCCTTGGCAGTTTGAGTCCCAGCTCTGCGACTGATCCTGCTTCCAGCTAAGCAGGTGCCAGGTAATGGCTCAGTCCTTGGGTCCCTGCCAACTGTGTGGGAGACGCAGACTGAGTTCTGGGCTCCCGGCTTCCCTCTGGCCCAGCCCTGGCTGTTGTGGCCATTTGGGGCGTGAACTACTAAATAGAAAATCTCTGTTTGCCTTTCAAACACAATGAAAATAAATACAGATTTTACTATAAATAAATAAACCATACACCTTCTTTGTCAAAATTTTGTAGAATCACATTACAAAATTAAGCAATCGCAAAA